TGGATCGGACCGACCCAGAGGGACTCTAACCGAGCTCCGTTCATCAGAACCCAAACCAGAACATTTTATTTACTCCAGAAACAGTTCTGATTAAAATCTGCAAAGATTCAATAAACTTTCAAATCGGTTAAACGTTAATAAACCACGTGTTCGTCCTCCTGGCTTCATGGAGGATTAAATAAAGTACATTTTTATAAAAAACACAAATCTACCATTTCATTTAATAAATATGATAAATAAAAGTTACAATAAATAATTCAAAGTTTCATTTTCACCCATCTAGCTCAGTGGGCGGGGCTAAAGAGGCTGCAGAGCCTCTGATTGGCGGCTTTGAATTGGGTCATTTTTCTCACTGTAAATGTTTTAATGTTTTGATCCGTTTCCCTTCTTCTGCCGAGCAGCTACTGATGATCGGAGGAGTTCAAAGTATTAATATTTATTCCTCCAGGATAAATCCTGATGTTTAAACACACTTATAGAAGTAAGTGGATCAACTTTTTACTCCAGTAAAAATGTTAAAAGTACTATTTTTAAAAGTAAAATTTGTATACAATTCTGGATGATAACTTCCTTAGACCTAATTTTCTTAGTTTTATAACTTGAGTTATCCTGAGCTATCTCTATAGTTCTGCTGCTATAGGCTTAGACTGCTGGAGGACATAGGGACCCCTTTTTCATCATTCTGCTTCATTCTATCTCTATTCTCCCACTCTGCAGAATCTGTTAGTTCAATCTCTAACGTTCTGCTCTCTCTGCTTTTTCTCATAGTAGCTTCATCTGGTCTGTTCCTGTTTGGCTGTGACTCCATCCTGGAGAGAAATATCAGCTGTGCTGCTGCCATCAACACCTTTGTTTCTAGATGTTGGAGCTTGGCCTGTTTTCCAGTGTAGTCCTGTTTCTCTGACTGTGACTAACTGGATGTGCTCTCTTCATCCTCTAACATGGGAGCTGGCTCGGAGCTCGTCTGCCTGGCTGTGTGTTTCCTGGACGGGGCCGCCTGTGGAGCTGGTTGACAGTTGCCTTTTGTATCTATGCGTCTTTTTCTATCTCTGCTTCTGTCTCCTTGAACCCCAGTGGGCCTCAGCAGATGGCCGCTCACACTGAGCCTGGTCCTGCTGGAGGTTTCTTCCTGTTCAAAGGGAGTTTTTCCTCTCCACTGTCGCTACAAGCATGCTTAGTGTGAGGGATTGCTGAAGAGTCAATGAGTCGATGCAATCAGCTGGTTTTCCTTAGATAGAAAACTTTGAATCAATCTGACTGGATGATCTGGTGAACTGGAAAGTGACCTGAGATGACATGATGTGAATTGGAGCTATAGAAATAAACTGAATAGAATTTAATTAGAACTAATGGTAACAGTGTCAAATTTAACTTTGCATCATCTTTGAAAACTATTTGTTTTGGTTTGTGGTGAACAAGTTGGGGCAGCACCGAGTCCAACCCCAAAGAAATTGTGTGATTGAAACTAATTATTTGGTGGTTTTTATTTAAATACCAACAGGCCATAATGAAAATGAGCATAACTGAAATAAAACTGACGGGTCTCTTCATAGTAAACATATATGGCTGCCGCTGGTCTTCCAGCCACTCTTAGAGATGGAAACGATGAGGAAACGAACCTTTGATGTGTGCTGGTTTTAAACCAATGATGGGATGATCCCTGATGCTGTGCATGAATTCTTTTCTACCGTCACGAACGTAAACGTGTTTATCAAAGTCTCCTGGGAACTAAACTGGGCCAGGGAGCTGAGCTGGGGTCAGGGGGCGCTGACAGGACTTATTCAGCTTCATAGTGGTTCCAAAACACTGCAGCTGCTCCAATCTTCCAGATTCCTGGTAAACATTTTTTCAGAGGGACACGACATTCCTAAACCTCGTCCACACAGGACTGGTTCAGCAGACACCAACCTTCTCCAGCCGTCACAGTTCCCAGAACCAAGTCCAGTATAAAGGCAGAGGAGGCTGCTTCCAGCAGGATGATGGATCATCTCACACAGCTCTGATTGTCTCAAACCAGTTCCAGGAGCTTTTGTTACTCCAGTAACCTCCAGAGCACAGTCCACTAGACCATCTCTGACAGGTTGGTTCGGTTCTTCTCCAGGATAAATCTATGCCATGAAGAAGGCAGGTTGTTCTAAAGACAGAAGGGGGTCCAATCTGCTAATAATAGGGTGTACCTAATAAAGTGGACGGTGGGAATACTCAGTTCATCCGAACCAAACCCAAACACAAGCTTCTGGGTCAGATACCATAAGAAATAACTTAATTTTCAGGAAATGTACCTGCTCCACCTCACCACTAGATGGCACCAACGTTACTTAAAGCTGGAAGGTTTTTATTCTCTGCTTTGGTCCATCCTTAAAGGAAAAGTCGCTCATATTCAGAATTCAAACTTCTGAAAGTTCTTTAAATCTGAAATGATTCCATCCTGTTCAATAAATGATCAGTGTTTTTAATTCAGAGTAATTTTCATGTGAATGTGCTTTACTGGAGGCATCCATGTTTGTCAAAGAACACTACTGCCACCTACTGGTTAGTGACGTCACGGTGCGGTATCGGCTGTTGATCAAGTCCCAGTGCTGTATCTGCTGTTTGTCACAACGCGCTATTATCCAAGTCATCTTGAAAACATTCTTCTTCCAAATGTTGGCTACATATTACGGGTTTTTTCTCTGGCCAGAAGTTCGATGGCAAATCCTCCCTCTTCAAGTTGGCGATCCAACGACCAACCCGTCCGTGGAGGATCAGGAATCAGAAAGGTGGAATAACTCTTTTTTTCACTTTTACCCGATGTATTCCAGCATCCAGCTGCCATGCACGTGGGCATTGTCAGTTTCACTATAGCTCTGGTGAATTTCAATGGTGAAGTCCTCTGGAAATCTTCAATAATTGTTGTTGATTGCAGATGTGTCTAGTAGTTCCCATTGATTTAGCTTGGAAAGCGGGGAGAATGGCGCTAGGCTTACCGCACCGTGATGTCACTGCTGGAAGATGGCAGGAGGGAGGGGCTACTATATCTGGGCTAAAATGGCCGCTCCCAGACTCAGTGATCGCAATGAAATTTTTTTTCTTTTAACTGATCAACGTTAAATTCATTAAATCACAGCGAACGTATTAGTTTTAGGTATAAATAATGATCCATTAATTATTCTTCGTTGACCGGCTTCTAGTTAGAGTGGCTCAGGTTATCCTGATCTATCTCTATAGTTCTGCTGCTATAGGCTTAGACTGCTGGAGGACATAGGGACCCCTTTTTCATCATTCTATCTCTATTCTCCCATTCCGTAGTATTTCTTAGACAGCTATGGCCTCAGCATTTAGTTTTTTACTGTAATGTTCTCTTATCCATCCCACTGCCTCGGCCTCCATTAGGAGCAAATCCTGTAAAGTCAATGTTTGTATCCAATCAGCTCATTTCCTTTAATATAAAACTTCAAAGGATGGTTGAATTGTTTCTGTAAAGTTCCTTGAAATCTCATGGTGGGAAACGACACTTTACCAAAGTAAATGGCTTCATGATGTAAACAAAATGTAAATGAGATCCAACTTCAAAATGTTAAATGCTGCCCCCATCAGGAAGACAACAGAAGCACATCAGGTTCGTATATTATTTATACTTTATTTACAAATAATAACTGAGTCCCGGTGGTTTTATGATGGCAGGAAAATCAAAACGTTTTAGGACATAAATAAAGAATCATGAGAAGCTCGTCGGAGGGGTTAGCAGACAGGGAATCAAAAACAGAAGAAGAAGAAAATGTGCAGATAACGATTTAGCCGGCAAGCGCAGATACGTCTGGATCTAGAGGCTCGGTCATCGAGCCCGGATCAAGAGGTCCAGCGCACTGCCCCCTGCTGGCAGCTAGTAGTTAGTGTAGTAATGTCTTTAAATCACATGCTTCCTGTTTTCCTTTGGTGAGCGAAGCTTTAAGGCGACTGAACCAACAGAAAGAATCCAGACACTTAATGCTGCCGTCTTCCACTCTTTGGTCCTGAAACTTTCAGAAAACTTCTAAAACTAAAGTGCCGATCAGGAGGTGAAGAAGGTGAAGATGGAGATCTGAGTGTAGACGACGATCACGTGGTTCTAGGACTGTTCTGCTGAGGAAGAGGAGGGGGATGATGATGCTGCGCTTATAAAAACAATTAGAAGGGACTGAGCGTCCACCAATCAGCAGAGTTCACTCTGGATATGTACAAACGGACCTCAGAGGGACGGAGACCAGAACCAGGACAGCCGGCTCACAGGAAGGTTGGACCCAACGGTTCAGTTTGGAGAATTTTAGGAGAAACCGACTCAGATTTTATGTTTTTTAGGGGGAAAAATGAACGAAGCAAATGTTATTAGTTTGAGAACCTGGGCCGGCGCCGCACTGATCAGTCTGGGAGAACCGGGATGGGATGAACAGAACCTCATCAACCGTCTAAAGCACCAGAACCACTTCTAAAATGTCTGGTTTCACCTCAAAGATCCGTTAAACCGCCAGAACCTTTAAACTAAAAAGCCTCACAGGAGAACCAGAAACCCGACCCGAAAAGAAGGATTCTGCTTGGTTCTGCTGCACTCCTCATGACTCAGCAGAGGCGGCTAAATGGACCCAGGTTGGTTCTGATGTGTGTCAGCAGAACGGGCCTTCACCTCAAACTGTTAGAATTTGGTCTGAACTACACCAGAACGAAGGGAACCGGGTCGGAACAGGTTCTCCTTCTCATTTATCCAGCCCATAAAGGCCCGGTTCTGTTGTTATACCAGCCTGACTCTGCAGAACCGTCTGCAGGTTCAGAACCGTGCCGCTGATTTAGAACCGGATCCACTGAGGCTAAACGTTCTCCGGTCTCGGTTCTGATGGAAACCCACCAGCTGTAGAACTTTGGGTCGTAGAGGTTTCTGGTTCTGGCAGAACCAAAGGTCCATGACCCGGAGGGTCCAACAGGGCCGAGGACCGGTTCTGATTGATGGATATAAACCAGAATCTGACAGGAAGAACGTGAATTTATTATTTTTTTTTTGGTTCTGTAAAAGTCCAATAAAAGCAGAACCTTTCCAGTTTCCTGCAGCGCCGGCTGCCCTCAGGTTCTTCCTGCTCTACATCGGTACCGGCAGGTCCAAAACCAAGGTACAGAAAGCTGCAACCCGTTGGCCCGCTGTGATATCCTGGCCCGGTTCTGCTAGAATCTGTGTTTAGAGTTCACGGACCAGGTTCTGGAGTGGTCCAAAACCTGCCGCTTTGGACCAACAGTTCTGACTGAGGGACTGTTTCCCAGAATCCTCAGAACTACGAGGAAAGAAACTAGTTTTGGGTCGGGTCCTGGACGGTTCTATGGTTTTTTATTTGGTTCTGGATTTTTATGGGGATTCTGATTGACTCGACCCAACAGGGCGGTCCCAGAGTGAGAGATGCGGGGCTGGTTCCGGTCCAAAAGGACTCAGGTTGGGAGGATTTGGGCTTGATCTTGTTTGTGACCCGGATCAGAGGTTCTAGGTAGAGGTCCACATTAAAGCCGGTTCTGGCTTTCAGATCCGGATGTTCTGCTGAACGTTGGACTCTGTGGTTCTGGAGAGCTGCTCTCTGTTCTCACTGGGTCCGGACCTGCCAGCTGAACTGGTTCTGGTCTGGATGAGGATGGGACGGAACCGGGCCGGACCGTAAACAGTCTGATTGGGTGATTGATTGGGGTCCCGGTCCGACTGGAGAACAGGCTGTGGACTGCGGTGGTGCCGGTCCCGGTCCGCCTGCCGGTTCTGAGGCTAGCAGCTGCAGCCCTCCTTAGGCGGCTGGGTGTCGGTGTTGACCCGGCCCGGCTGCGCCGACGGTTTGTGCTGGACCCCGGACTCGGCGGCGTTCAGGTCCAGACTGCCGTCCTGGATGTTCTGGTAGATCTTCTTGGCCGCCTCCAGGAAGGCCTCCTCCACGTTCTCCCCCCTGAGGAACAAACCCAGAAGCTGTGAGCGAACAGAACCTGAACAGAACCGGCCCCCTGCCTGCCTGCTGTGAGGGATGGATGCAGTCAGCTGGTTGACCTGACAGGACCTGCTGTGAATTGGCGCTATAGAAATAAAGTGAACAGAAGTCTCGCCGCATCAGAAACTTACGTTTTAGCGCTGGCTTCTAGGAACAGCAGACCTGGACACAGGAAGCAGAGACAGACCCGGTCAGAACCACAAACCCGGCCCCCTGCCCCCCCCAGCAGACGGACCCTCACCGTTCTCCTCGGCGAACTGTTTGGCCTCTTCGTACGTCACGTCTCTCTGGGCCTCCAGGTCCGCCTTGTTCCCGATCAGGATGATGACCTGGAGAACGGAGCAGGTCCCCTTTAACCACCTCAACCTTCCAACTGTAGCCATGGCAACATGAAGCTTCACTGAACCGTTTGGGCTAATTGCTTCACCGATCCCCACGGTTCATAAGCCTACTGGTGGCCTGCAGAACTACAGGTAGTGATAGAATCTGCAAACGTTTCTTTTCCCATCAAAGTTCCTTTGAAATTGTTAATGACTAGTGTTTATAAAAAAAAATATTTTTTAGTGTTAATAGTCTTATAAGAGAACAATCATTTTAGATTCACAGTTTTTCTGCCATTTTAGTGAAATAAGCTCAAGCAGACAGTGAAAGTATTTGTGCAAATTGGGCAATGATGAACAAAATTAAAGATTTTAGTCATTTTTATTAAAAAATTATAGTTTTTCCACAGTTTTTGGTTTTAATCGGGTTGGAAGTTATGTGCTCAACCAATCTTTTGGTTAAACCAACCGATCTAATTTGGCAGTGTTTTTACCCAATTAGTCACACTAGCCAAAATACTTCAGTATTACTGCAACTTATAAAAGTCTACGGTGGGTTTTGAACCAACAACCTCAGACATGGAAATCAATGTCTTACAGACGACGCCACTAGCTATGCTAACGACTTGCTAGAAAGTAATACAACTAAAAAACGTTGCAACTGTAACAGTGACTTGCTTAGATTTTATCATTACATTGTTTAATCTACCCAGAATAGTTTTAACCAACTAGATTGTTTGTTTTTCCAACCAATCTATTCTTAGAATCTATCCAACAAAAAAAAAAGAAAAAAGAATCTATCCAACTGACAGCGGCTTTCCTACAAAATCCCACATCTTGACTGAATACTGGGGCTGTTTAAATTAAGTTTCTGGTCCATTAATTTCTCCCGCGGTCTGAACCACTTCCTGAAGCCGTCTCAAAGTATCAGGGAAGAGACGTTTCGGACGTCATCAATTTTGGCCCCTCCCCTAAATGAATCGCGCCTCGACTCTCGCCCTCCATTACTCAACACGTGCCTCGAAGCCTCGGCTCATCTCATGACATCACTATAATGGTTCTATATGAACACACATCTGGATCAGCAGCTGCTTAGAGACATTAGAGGAAACCGGTCCCCATACTGACCAAACACGGGATTACAGCCACAGACTGAACCTGTAAATATCAGAGATCATATTTACAGTAAAGGTTCTGAGAACATTAAACTAGAACCCAAAGATCTCATTAGCCCCCCATTGCTGGCCGGATCAGAGGCGCTCCTCTGGGTGCTGACCGATCCATAAATCCTGACTCACCGTGTTTGGGTTGGTCAGGTTCCGGGCGTCGGTAAGCCAGCTGCTCAGGTGGTTGTAGGTGCTCCTCCTGAGGGGCAGCACATCAACAAGGAGTTATTCAACAGAAACCAAAGGAACCTCTGAACCCCCCCCCCCCATCAGAAGCTGAAACTAAATTCCCACAGGCTGTAAAATCAACTTACAGAAAAACATGAAAGATTGAAGAAATAATAGAAAAAAAGACGTAAAATCTGAGATATTTATTCAGCTCGAATTCACATCAATTTTTGTATTTTCTGTATTAATTAGGGCTGAACGATTAATTGCATTTGCAATAATATCGCGATATGATAAAACGCGATTTTCTAACCGCAATGGACGCGATTTGACGGTCACGTGATGGTCACGTGACGGTGACGCGCTAGCCAAACAACACAGAGGGAAAGCTGATGTCGTCTGCGACTAACTTGCTGAACAATGGCGTCAGAATGCACAAACACCGACACAACTGAAGGTCTGGTACCAAAGAGGAGCGGCACGTCATTGGTGTGGAATTTTTTTGGGTTTAAGAAAGAAGACGCTGCGCAAACTCAGGTTTTGTGCCGGACATGCCTTGCTATGGTTGCTACCTCACGAGGTAACACGACGAACCTCTATCAGCACTTGAAAAAACACCACAAGGCTATGTATGATAGCTGCATGGCTAGAATGGCAACTACCAGTGCCTCAGCGTCAGTTAAGCAAAGTACCACCCGACAGGGATCACTGACCGAACTGTTTGAAAGTGTTACTCCCTATGAACATAATGCGAAACGGCACGTTGAAATAACTCGGGCAATTACGGAGTTTATAGCGAAAGACATGATATCCGTCAGTATAGTGACCAAGCCTGGGTTTACGGCTTTGGTACACACGTTGGATAAGCGGTATTCAATGCCCTCGCACACATATTTTAACCAAGTCGCAATACCTGAGCTATACAAAAAATGCAGAGACAGAGTTGCTGCGGAGCTGAAAACAGTGGAGTTTTTGCAACAACTACAGATTTGTGGTCAAGCCGAACAGCGCAGCCGTACCAGAGTCTAACAGTGCATTATATTGACGAGGACTTAAATCTTAAAGCTCGCTGCCTTCAAGCTTCCTACTTCCCGGACGACCACACAGGGGAAAACATTGCTGCTGGCTTGAGAGAGGGACTGGCTAGCTGGAATTTACCGGAAGAAAATCACATCTGCATAACGACGGACAACGCATCAAACATGGTGTTGGCAGCACAACTAAATGAATGGACCAGACTGCAGTGTTTTGGGCACCGATTACATCTTGCCATCGGTACGTAACATATCTCAGCATGAGAGTGCGTGATTGTGAATGCGCAGAGAGAGAATATCTCTGTGTGGGTGTGTGTGTGAGTGAGTGATTGTGAATGCGCAGAGAGAGAATGTGTGTGTAATGTAAGGGGTTGAGTAAAAGAATGTGAAAGTTGATATCCTTTTTCACTAGAGATGCACCAATCCATTCATTTTATGATCCAGTACCTGTGCTCTGCATATCGGCTGATATTCAATACCAATTTGGAGGTATTGTTGTAATGAATTAACTGTATAACTTGCAAGACTTGATATAGACATTGATAAAAAAAAAAGGTAACAAATTACGAGATATAAATGTACTTAATATTACTTATTAAGAAATGAAGTGTAGATTTGCAGCATAATAATATAATCTAATAATCTAATTTTATGTTGCAGGACATGCACTTAAAGATGACAGAGTGTCCAGAGCAATAGGGCTGTGCAAGAAGCTGGTGGGGCACTTCTCCCACAGCTGGAAGAAGAAGGCAGCAATGGCTGAAGCTCAAAGGGAACTCAAACTTCCTGAGCACTCCCTCATCACTGAATTCAATTCAATTCAATTCAATTCAGTTTATTTATATAGCGCCAAATTCACAACACATGTCATCTCAAGGCACTTTACAGTTCAACCAGATCAAATTGATACAAAGTTTTCTATCTAAGGAAAACCAGTTGATTGCATTGACTCATTGACTCAAATACAATCCCCCACACTAAGCATGCTTGTAGCGACAGTGGAGAGGAAAAACTCCCTTTTAACAGGAAGAAACCTCCAGCAGAACCAGGCTCAGTGTGAGCGGCCATCTGCCGAGGCCGACTGGGGTTCAAGGAGACAGAAGCAGAGATACAAAAAGCAGCTGTAAAAGGCGGCCCCGTCCAGGAAACACACAGCCAGGCAGACGAGCTCCAAGGCAGCTCCCATGCCAGAGGACGAAGAAAGCACATCCACTCAGTCACGGTCAGAGAAACAGGACCACACTGGAAAACAGGCCGATCTCCAACATCTATAAACAAGGGTGTTGATAGAAGCAGCACAGCTGATGTTTCTTTCCAGGATGACGTCACAGCCAAACAGGAACAGACGAGGCAAAGCTACTCTGAGGAAAAGCAGAGAGAGCAGAAGGTTAGAGATTGAACTAACAGATTCTGCAGAATAGGAGAACAGAGAGAGAATGAAGCAGAATGATGAAATGGGGGTCCCTATGTCCTCCAAAAGTCTAAGCCTATAGCAGCATAACTATAGAGATAGCTCAGGATAACCTGAGCCACTCTAACTATAAGCTTTATCAAAAAGGAAAGTTTTAAGCCTAGCCTTAAAAGTAGACAGGGTGTCTGCCTCACGGACTAAAACTGGTAGTTGGTTCCACAGGAGAGGAGCCTGATAACTAAAAGATCTGCCTCCCATTCTACTTTTAGAAATTCTAGGAACCACTAGTAAACCTGCAGATTGAGAGCGAAGTGCTCTGTTAGGAACATAAGGAACAATCAGATCTCTGATATAAGATGGAGCTTGGCCATTTAAGGCTTTATATGTGAGAAGGAGGATTTTAAATTCTATTCTTGATTTAACAGGAAGCCAATGAAGAGAAGCCAGGACAGGCGAGATATGATCTCTCTTTTTAATTTTCATTAGAACTCTGGCTGCAGCATTTTGGATCAGCTGAAGGCTTTTAACTACAGTTTGTGGACTTCCTGATAGTAAAGAATTACAATAGTCCAGCCTTGAAGTAACAAATGCATGGACTAGTTTCTCAGCATCACCCCTGGACAGGATATTTCTAATTTTTGCAATGTTCCTCAGATGAAAGAAGGAAATTCTAGAAACCTCTTTGATGTGGGATTTAAATGACAGGTCCTGATCAAAAATAACACCAAGATTTTTTACTTTATTATCTGAAATCAGTTTAATCCCATCCAAATGAAGTGACTGGCTAATCAGTTTCTTTTTCAGAGACTCTGGTCCAAAGACTATAACTTCTGTTTTGTCTGCATTCAGAAGCAGAAAGTTAAGAGTCATCCAGGTTTTTATGTCTTCAAGACATGCCTGTAATCTATGTAATGGGTTAGCTTCATCTGGATTTATAGACAGATATAGCTGGGTATCATCAGCATAACAGTGGAAATTAATCCCATGCTGTCTAATAATTCTACCAATTGGGAGCATGTATAAAGTAAAGAGAATTGGTCCTAGCACTGATCCCTGTGGTACTCCACAGGTAACCTTTGAGCGTGTTGAAGATCTATCATTAACATGAACAAACTGAATTCGATCAGATAGATAAGATTTAAACCAGTCTAGTGCTGTTCCTTTAATTCCAACAAAATATTCAAGTCTTTCTAAAAGAATATTATGGTCAACTGTATCAAATGCAGCACTAAGATCCAACAGGACGAGCACAGATACAAGTCCATTATCTGAGGCCATGAGAATATCATTAGTGACTTTCACCAGAGCTGTTTCAGTGCTATGATGAGCTCTAAAGCCAGACTGAAACTCTTCAAAAAGTTCATTATGGTGGAAGTGATCGCAAACTTGTTTGGCAACTACTTTCTCAAGAATTTTGGATAAGAAAGGAAGATTGGATATAGGTCTATAATTGACCAAGTCATCTGGGTCAAGAGACGGTTTCTTAAGCAGAGGTTTAATTACAGCAACCTTAAAAGCTTTAGGTACATATCCCTGTAACAGAGATAGATTAATCACATCTAAAATGGAGGAGGAGATCAAAGGGAATACCTCCTTAAATAACCTGGTTGGAACTGGATCTAACATACAAGTTGAAGGCTTAGATGAAGACAATAATTTTGCTAATTCAGAGAGTTCAACTGGATCAAAGCAGTCTAAACCCAGTTCAGATTCCATGACTACCTCAGGTACAATCGCGGATAGAGGAGTGCTTATGATCTTATTTTTAATAAGATCAATCTTATTTATAAAGAATCCCATAAAGTCATTGCTGCTAAGAGCAGGTGGAATGGACGGTTCAACAGAGCTATGGCTCTGGGTGAGTTTGGCAACTGTATTAAAAAGAAATCTAGGATTATTCTTATTCTCCTCTATTAATGAGGAGAAGTATGCTGCTCTTGCTTTACAAAGGGTCCTCTTATACAGCAGTAAACCATTTTTCCAGACTAGGAAGGACTCTCGCAGGCCTGTGGAGCGATATTTTCTCTCCAGTTTCCTAGCATTTTGCTTCAAAGTACGCAGCTCTGCATTAAACCAAGGAGCAAGCTTTCTATTTTTAACGGTTTTCATTTTCAAAGGAGCTGCGTTGTCTAAGGCAATACGCAGAGAACTAGCAACCCCATCAACAAAATCATCAACCTGTGAAGGGGAATAAGCTAAACTTTTGCACTCTGCAGCACTGCTCAGTGACACAGAGGAGAGAGAAAGTGAAGCAGATTCTTTAAAATTTATAACTGCACTATCTGATAAAGATCTACTAAAATTGAACCTTCTTTTGGGGGAGGAGAACTCTGTTAAAGTAATCCTGAAGGTTATTAGAAAGTGGTCAGAGAGGACAGGGTTGTGAGGAAAAACTGTTATTTCTTCACATTCTATGCCGTATGTCAGCACAAGATCCAAAGTATGAAGATGAGAATGCGTGGGACTATTCACATTTTGAACAAAGCCAATAGTGTCTAAGATAGCATTAAAGGCTGCTCTTAAGCTATCGCCTTCAATGTCAGCATGGATGTTAAAATCTCCCACTATGATGACCCTGTCAGTATT